CCACCCCCACCACCCATCCTCTCTTCCCCCCTGCCACCCACTGGCCATCCCTTCATCCCTATCCACCCTCTCAGCCCATACCGCTCTCTCCCTCCACCCACTGCCCATCCCCTCTTCCTCTGTCCATCCTGCTCGCACTGTTCGTCCCCTCTTTCCCCGTCCACCCCTAGCCCATGCCCTCTTCCCCTGTCCACCCCACTAGCACCTCCCATTCCCTCTTCCTTCATTCACCCTGTTCCCACTGCTCATCCCCTCTTCCCCATCCACCCCTGCCACCCATGACTTCTTCCTTCATCCACCTGCCAGGAGAGCCTTCCCCCTGCACACTGCAGCCCACCTCACACACCTTTGGGAACATTTGCCAGACCCCGCCCACCATGCCTCCCATGCGTGCTGTCTGTGAGGGGTTCCAGCATGATGCCACAGATAGCCGAGTGGGGCTGTCCTGTCCCCCAAGCATGCTGTCTGTGAGGGGTTCAATGCCCTGTTCTATTCTCTGCTATCTAACTGGCTGTAACTTGCTGTGACCCTGTGGCCAGCTGGCTGGGCAGCTGCCCACTCCAGTGCAGTCCCCACACTTGGCTCTGTGTTGGGTCTCACAGATGGGGCCCCTCCTTCCTCTGGCCTCCCTGCTCCACCGATCACCATGTCCTCTCCCTGCACTAGCCTTTCCCAGTGATGACATGTCCAGGTGACTGAGCCGGCCTCACGGCCTGATGTCTAAGGAAGTCTGGCTGTGCTTCTCGGGCTGATTATTTGTTCTGAGGGTCCGTGGCTGCTCTGGGTCCCCACAGCGCAGTGTAGCTGCCTCCTTCTGCCCAAAGCCAAACCCCGTGCCGTCAGGTCCACGCCCGCGCACAGCGGTCCTCCAGCAGCTTTCATTCCCAGCAGGAGGAGATTGCCCATCTCACTCCTGCAGAGTCCACGGTGGATTCAAACCACTGAGCATGTTGAGGTTACGTGTTAAGGATTGAGGTTAACAGACTGCCTCCAGAGCTAGTGTTTATATACAAAACAAACAGGCACGATTCCCGTGCTCCCCTCTGTGTCCCGCTTGCGAGAAGGTGTGGTGACCTCAGACAGAGGGCACAGGTTTCCCAGCTCAGGTCATGGAACACCCAGTGTCCTAGGCCCTGGGCTTCGTGCACACGTAGGGCTCACCTTGGCACCAGGACGCAGGGACACCATCACACCCGCTTCCGTAACCAAGGCTTCTCTGGTCCTCACTGGACTTTGTTATCTCGGGGGGATGTTACTCTTCTTGTGATCATTCAGACTTTGGGGGCATTGCATTGCAAGTGTCCTCAACAATCTCAGACTTCGGGCATGTTGCTAGGAGAGGCTGTTCCTTGGAGAGGGACGTCGTGCTTGGAAAGGAGGAGGGACAGTGAAGGAGAGGAAGACCTTCAGCCGGGCAGGTTGACACAGTGACCGCAGCAGTGGGTGCAAGAGTGCTAGAGATGATGAGGACAGCACCGGCCAGGACAGGTTCAGACCTGTTGTTCACAGGGTCACCATAAGTTGTACACAACTCCATGACATCTAACAGCAACTACACCCCACAGTCCAGAGACCATGTCATCCTCACCTCAGTCTGTAGACTCACGCTGCCCTTCGAGCTACCGGCTGTTTCTACCACTTCCCCAGAGAAATGAAACGACCCTTTCCACCTACTTTAGGGGCTTCTGGTCCCTGTGAGCAGTGGGCAGGGGCTGGCCATGGCCCCCTGAGGCCACCAGTGAGTGCAAGAGCCCTTCCTGGTCAAGCTCTGTCACCTGATGGAACAGGTAGAGATCAGGTGGGCCAAATGGTGAACTCACTTGACTGCTGGCTGTAAGGATGGAGGCTTAGGTCCACCCAGGGTGCTCTGGAAGAAAGGCCTGGCCATCCTCATTCCTGAGAGTGACACGCCTGGGTCACCATGGGCAGAACCAGCTTGATGGCCATGAGGTCCCTTCCTTGAACGTTTTTGAAGTTAGGAGCACACTGCCCAGCAGAATCCCCATGTCTGACACCATGTGCTGAGAGTGACCGCTCCTACATGACCTCAGTCATCATTGGTCCAGTCTAACCATCTCACAGCCTGATGTCCTGCAAGATCAATGCCTCGGCCACAGCCTCATTTTCACCCTCTGTCACACACCTCAGTGGTTTCCTCTCACCTGGTCCTTTGCTGACTTGCTTCTGAAGCCTGTGAAACCCTTTCTCCTCACTAAACAGCACGTGCTTTTCTATCGCTACGAGTGTTTGTTGTTACAGGCTGCTGAGTATGACTCACAGCAACCTTCTGAACAGCTGACCTGAACCCTGGCCTGTCCTGTGTGAACCCTGTCCTGTCCTGTGTGAACCCTGGCCTGTGTGAACCCTGGCCTGTCCTGTGTGAACCCTGGCCTGTCCTGTGTGAACCCTGGCCTGTCCTGTGTGAACCCTGGCCTGTCCTGTGTGAACCCTG